TGCCCCAAGAGACCCCCGCGCAAAACGACCTCCGGGGGGGGGGGGGTTTATTAAAGGGACCCTAACATTACAACTAATCATGAACCTCCAAGCAACCCTAGATAGCCAAAATCTCAGTCTTTAAACCCTAAACCCTAAACCCCAAACTTTGAACCCTAAGCCCAAAGCCTTGAACCCTTAAATGAACACCCGAGAAAAGCGAGGCCGGCAGCACGCCGCAACGGTCACGGGGCCCGCGTGCGGCTCTAAGTCTGTCCTGGGCTACGGGCTTTAGGGTTTAGGGTTTGAGGGTTTAGGACTTAGGGTGTAGGGTTTAGGGTGTAGGGATTAGGGTTTAGGGCTGAGGGTTTCGGGTTTAGGGTTTCGGGATTTCGGGTTTAGGGTTTAGGGTTTCGGATTTAGGGATTTGGGTTTTGAGTTTTGGGTTTTAGGGTTTCGGCTTTAGGATTTAGGGTTCAGGGTTTCGGGATTTCGGTTGGATTTGGGGTTTAGGGTGTTTTTCGGATTTAGGGTTCAGGGATTTCGGGTTTAGGGGTTTCGGGTTCAGGGTTTCGGGACTTCGGGTGGGTTTTGGGAATTAGGGGTTTAGGGTTCAGGGTTTCGGGATTTCGGGTTTCGGGATTTCGGGTTTCAGGTCTGGGGTCAAGCGTTTCGGGTTCGGGCTTGGGGGTGAGGGCTGAAGACTGAGGCACACCGGGGCTCCTGGTTGAAGCAAGAGGGATTTCTATAAGGGTTCAATGAGGATTCTGTGAGGGTTCGTTCACATGTGGCTTCTATAGACAAGCGGTTTTTAGGTCTGGGTTTTGGGGTTTTGGGGCTTTGGGCTTAAGGTTTAGGGAACAATGACCAAACATCAATCAATATCACTTCGGACGTGACACGGCCTGCGGCATGGATACTGCAGATTGGTGCTGGAGAGGCCATATCAACTCCAACACACCGAAACACCTAAGCCTCTAAACCCCTCGCCTTCCCCCTTCAAAAAACACACAGAGACACACACAGACACACACACACACAAAAACAAAGAACAAAAACCCTAAACCCTAAACCCTGAAAGTACAGCCCAAATAAAAACAACAAGAAACCTAAACCCTAAACCCTGAAAAGTACACCCTCAACCCATGGCCGGCTTCGGTGAAGCAGACATGTCAGGTCAGCCGAGGGACGTCTTTGGCGCCGGGAAGAGTATCGCAGGATCGGGCTTCGACTGGAAAATGACCTGCAGGGTGTACTTCCGTCAAAGTGTGGAGGAGTAAGGCTTAGGATTATTTAGGGTTCAGGGTTTGGGGTTCAGGGTTTAGGGCTTGGGGTTTGGGGTTTAGGGTTTAGGGTTTAGGTTGGTGCTTGGGCTTTGGGTTTCGGGTTGTAGTGTGTAGCGTTTCGGTTTTATAGAGCTGATTTGGGGTTTAGGGCTTTGGAGTTTGTAGGGTGGGGAAACCCTAAACTAATCCTGATGAGATGTGGGGACCCTAAATCCCTTTTTTGTCCGAACCTGGTTGCCCAGTATAGCGGAAAGGTTCCACCTGCAGTGCCTAAACACCCGTCCAGGTTTCCCTAAACCCTAAACCCTAAACCCTCAACCCTCAAGCCTAACCCTAAACCCTAAA